TTTAGAGAACAAAATATAGTTAAAAACATTGAATGACGTTTATGCTACGATTTAATTCGAAATAAACTAAGTTAAGATAGTCTTTCAAAATTATATAATAATTTCTAAAACAAATTGCTATTTATTGGTTTACATGATAATGAAAAAAAAAGTTATTTTTGTCAAAATCTATCTTGGATTGTAGGGTTGTTTTACTTTTTACTTTTGGTTACTAACTATCTTGATAGTTTAAATGTTAAGTATATAAGTATCAGATTGAAATTTCAATGTTCAGTCCTCTAGAGAGTATTATGTACACATTGATGAATAGTAACATTGCAAAATATTACATAATTGTCTTGTGTTAGCTGGTTTTTTAATGATTGTTTAAATGAAATGAATATTTGCTGTTTTTCTATGAATATTTTGTTTATTCAATAATATCTAATGAAGTTTAATGAAAAATAAAGTGAAAATTTTTTTTTCAGAAACTTATACTTTTTGATGAAACTTTCTCTTTTCATAACATTAAGTTACTTACTTACTTATGGCTCTTACTCCCAATGGAACATAGGTCGCCGACCAGCATTCTCCAACACAATCTCTCTCATGCGCCTTCCTTTCTGGTTTTATTCAAATGTTGTTCATTCTTCTCATGTCTCATGTCATGTGTCTTTCGGTCTTCCTCTTCTTCTTCGGCTTTGAGGATTCCAAATGCGGGAGTGCCTTGTGATGCAGTTGGGTGCTTTCCTCAATGTGTGTTCTATCCACTTCCAGTGCTTATTTCCTGATTTATTTCTTTGCTGGGATCTGGTTTTTACTTTCCCACAGTAGGTTGTTGCTAATAGTGTTTGGCCAATGGATCTGAAGTATTTTGCATAGACAATTGTTAATAAACACTTGTATCTTCTGGATGATGGCTTTCATAGTTCATAACATAGAAGGGATTAATCAAAAGATAAATAGCTAATAATCAATAAATTTACTTGAACCATAACAGATTATTGTTTTTAGAGTTAATAATGATTACATAAGTTTAGGTAAATGAAAAGAATTTAAATAATGATTAAAGAGTTTGTTACTGAATAAGTGTAAACAGACTTTATTTTGTTTGTTTGTTAAATGACAATTTTTATGATATTTTGAATAGGAAGAAAAATGTTTTCTGATTTAGTTTAAAATTCATCAGTTTATATTAAAGACTGATGACAATAATACTGTTAAGTTACCTACAGGAATTATAAAACAAAATTGTCTTTTTTGTTGCTTGTTTGTTTGTTTTTATTTTAACAAAAAGAATTAATAAATAAATCCTGTTTTAATAACTCACTCATAGAAAGTACTGAATACTTATATAGTAGCTCACATGAGATTGTGTTTATTCACATTTAATTTGGATAAACCCTTTTGTTAACTTATTTAACGGATAGAGACAATCGTACAATAACAACTTATTATTGTTGCACTTGTTTGGATATGTGTGCTTGAACATTGCTTACCGTCTACGCACATATTTATTCTGTTAGCTTTAATGTTAGTTGTTTAATTGAATCGATAATTCACTCATTTCCCTATATATGTATATGTACATTTTAATTCTATTTATTTAGACTCCGGAACTCGCATGCTCACTTGCATTGCGGTATTAGACTTTCATTCTTGTTTCGCGTGTCTTTGGTTTTGGTGATCTGTGCGTTGTGCAATAACAAACGTGATCAACACTTCGTACTTGTCTTTTGATTTATACACCATTGGGGACATTATCTAATAACGGTTATCAGGACGAACTGTTTACGAAGATTAAGGATTATATTTAATACCTATCACTACACTTACATAGCTTATTATATTGGTTTTGATGAGTACTTTGTGCTTAAAAGCGCTGCAGTTTCAATTAGGCAGGTATATTATAAAAAATATATATTTGATTTATTCAGTAAAACGATATACTTTAGGCTTATTATAGTGTATTATTGTGTATATTCACTTATGGACTGATTTTATTCTTAATTACTGAGAACAACTAACTTATTAATTTATATCTTATATAATCATATAGATAAATTATACGGTTGTATTGTATTTTAATCGAATATATTTGAACATAAAAAATACAATGATTTATTATTTGATAATTGAATTCATGAGTCAATTGAAGCTAGACCACTATGGAAAACCTGGAGCATTAGACGGCCGTTTCATTCTTGCATGTTTCTCTTCAGCAGTTCCCATCCATCATCCCTATGAGGTGATTTGATGGAAAGAAAAGTCAAGATTCGATTGATTTACTCATTATGAGTTTTATTCAACATTACTTCTGTTTTGATTTAATGTAATGATTACTTAATGTAGTATTTATTTTCTTTTCTCGTATGATATTTTATTCTGTATAACATACGATATTCTTGTATTCAATTGACATGAACTATGCTCAGTATATGATTTGTGATAACTGAGTATTTTTCATACATGTGATTTCATTCTAATTATTAATCAAAATGGGTGTACAATCAATATATAAATGAGTGTATTTTTGACTAAGGTCGTCGTCATCGTCGTGTTTTAGGGGTTAATAAAACTTCACTTATACTAGTTTTTGTGTTCTTACTTTCGCGTCGTAGGAATTGTGGAGGTCCCTTCGTTCCAAGTATAAGTGGTCAGCGCCTCCGACATAACAATCAGCGGCGACCAGATACAAAAAGTAGCATTCGACACACAAGTTATAACAAACCCACCTCAAGAGATTCGAACCAAGGACTTGTCAGTCTCGCGCGCGAACGCCTAGTTTTTAGACCACTGAGCTGGTCGGCGCCCAACGGTGTCAATGTCTAACTTCTATCAATCCATGAAGTTGCTCTACCGTCCACCATTTACTTGAGTGGGTTACTGACAGTTCCTCGGTTTGAATCTTGCCGGGCGGGGTCGTGGGTGGGCACTTCTAAGGAGTCTCATACTAGAATGAGACGGTCGTCCAGTGCTTCCAGATTTCCCATGATGGTCTGCCTTCAAATGAATGAATTAATTTAGTAAATTACTACAATATACACAAACCCCTCTCCTAACTATTGTTTATTTAATTGATTTACCTGTGGTGCAATAGTCACAACTAGTGATGGTTTTTATATCCATAACATTATTATTATCTTGAATAACTGTTAGAACTAAGTTTTTTATTTATTCGAAAAAGAATAGAATAATTAGATGTTATCTGATTGATGTCATTCATTTTATACTGTGATTCAAATTTGTTTTAAATTATTCAACAATCAAACTCAATATTACTATTGTTTTAGTAGTAGCGATAATTTAATCGAACAGAACAATTGCAGTGATAGAAAATAGTTATCAACTCCTAATGGTAGCTTTTTCAAATCATATAATAAAATATGTTACAATCAGTGTGAAGACGGCCTGTAATGCAACTCGAGAAAGCTCTAAGAAGCTCATAAACAGTTGAAGACACTCCATCCAATCATCTTTTGGAAGAATGTTCCAAAATCCCCATTGGACAAATGCTAAAACCCCTTACATTCAGATTAGATGACTAATAATGATTTCGTTTTTACTAAAAATTATAAATCCCTGACAGTTTTGTACAATAGTTGACACTGTTTGGAGTAGCATCCCTTTCACTTGTCTTCTTTCTTCTGATTTGCGACTTGGTGGGTTCTAGCGTTCGAGTGCTCAAGTCATACGCGGTCTATTACGAATCTAAGCTGTAGATATAACAGTCAGTTTCCTCATAAACCAAAGAAGGTATCACAGCAATGATAGTCAAACGAAATCTAAGATCATAGGGTTTGAATCTAATTATAAACGTAAGCATTAGTGTTTAATTAAATCCATCTGATGAGTCCCATAAAGAAGTAAACGAGCGTCTTAAATTCAACTTTTCAGCTACTATAAAACTCTGCCTAAATAATATTTATAATCTGAAAGCAATGTCTAGACAATCTACCCCTAAAACAGAAGAATCTATTACATTCCTGAGCATCAACAACGACCAGAACCAAACCCGAACAAATGTATAACAATAAAAGATTATAAGTTTTTAGTTTACATCGAAGAGTTTTATGGTAGATGATCATTCATGTCTATAGACAGCTTTTAGGTAAAACTTAACTTCAAAGTTAGTAAAAACATAAGAATTTATTTTATAAATTTATACCTAGTCATTATTTACATTAAAATGACAGGTGAATGACGTACACTTTCTTACGAATATTATATTGAAGTAGTAACAAAAGCTAAATGATTACTGGATAGATTTAATGGCGTACCAATAATAAATAAAAGTGAAAGTTTGTAAAACATTAAGTGCTATTACATTAGCATAATTTGTTACGTCATATGAATGATTAATGGCTATATTTCGAGTTTATAACTTGTTTACGAACTCCCTTGAATATAACAATAGTCTACACTATGTGTTTTTATAATTTGGAAAGACATATCAAGAAAATTACTACAAAAAAGATATTCAGATGAAATTCAGATTCATGGGGTTGGAGTCTAGATGTAAACGTGAACATTATGGTCTAAGTAAGTTAAACTGAATCTAATATTATATGCAAAGATGAATATTGGCTATCAGTGGAATCCTGGAAACATGCATCCTGTATTCCACTGCTAGCCACCATCCATCACTGTGCTATAATGCCTGTAATTTAAGACACTGTTGAAGCAATCCACACAGGATGCACATATTACGATAAGAGATTGATCGACTGTAATCCTGAGAATCAATGGAGACATTCAAACAACAGATACAAAAACGAATTGTAACTACACTTTTATTTCAATATAAACATGGATCCGTCTGAAATTACATAAATCAATGACTTTTACAAAACATTAATAAGCTTTAATACTGAATTTCATGATGATTCTAACCTCTAACAAAAATCAACCGAAAATTATTACTTAATTGTATGCATTTTTCTAATATTTTAAATTAGATTGAACGCTACCCCCTAAATTCTTAAACATTTTTTTTATATTTCTTTGTTTTATTTATACAGAAGAAGCTATTTTTGCTGCAACATGGCTTGGTTATTTCAATGCCTGTCTAAATTCACTGGTATATTCACTATTAAATAATAATTTTCGTATGTCCTGTGCAAAACTATTATGTGCTTGGCATTACAATCGTGAAAGACGTCAACAGTATGGATTAAATCAATTGAAACATTTCGGTGATACTCCGATTCAATTAGCACTTGGTCGTGTTCCATGGAATAAATTATGAATATATTTGAACTGTAGTAATATAATCTTCTTAGTATATAGTCATGATGAAACATATACTTATTATCTCACACGATATAATTTCATCAGTTTTGTGTTTTAACAATAAACTCAACGAAAAAATTTATATCATGAATATATTCCTAAAATGATATAACAATATGAGTTCATATTTTGTTTTTTTTTTCTTCTCTACTCATGCCTGTTTAGATTACATAACTGTACATATCAAACTCTTAAAAGCAATAATAAAAGTACTTTACATCGAACCAATGTTTTCTGTTTTCTAACTAGGTAATTTTTAACAGACGACTTTCAATGCTGCTATATATTATCGGGTGATTATGAAATGAAACATTGACATAAAACAATAGTTTTAATCTAAAGATCTAGAGGTTAAGTATTCACACGCGAGACTGATGGTTATGAATTCGCGTTCATTTTCATGTTTTCAAACGTTTGTTACGCGTTTTTACGATATTTGAATTGTTTGTTAAAATCAAAGTTGGTTAAAAGATAATAGGTTATGTAATAACAAACTGTTTTTTCGAGTAAGAAACTTATAGTTTCTGTCCAATGAGTTACAAAAAAGGTTTGATACGAACCCTTTTTGACCGAGCTCGAAAAATTTGTTCAAAGGAATGCCTGGATGATGAGATCACTCTCATCACTAATGCTCTACGTGAAAACTCATACCCGTTGAAATTTATCCAGAAATATGCAAAAACCAATCCTCAGGCAAAGTATGATAGAGTTGAAAAAAAATCTTGCTTCTTATATCTACGTTTCAAAGGAGATGAAATTGCTGGCTTAATTGATCACAGACTAAATTCCGCGTTGAAAGTTGCCTACCCAACAGCAAAATTAATGACAGTATGGAAAACGAACTGCTCACTTAAATAAACTAAAATCAACAAGTCCTCTTTTCTTAGTAGCTCCAACTGCATTTACCAATTCACATGCACGTGCCAAAGCACATATATTGGAATAACTGAGAGAAGAGTGTATGTTCGCATTTCTGAGCATGTTCCAAAGAACTTGAGGCTGCGAGGGACTAAGGTTCTTAACAGTGCAATAGCTCGGCATTTACTGGACACCGGGCATACCATTGATATTTCACACGCTTTCAAAATTATCAATAGACAACGAAGTACTACTACTCTCCGTTTCGCGGAAGCGATTGCGATAAAAACATTTTTAACCGGATTTATGCATTCAAATAGAGACGTTAATAAACCTATCATTACTCCGGTAACCCTTTTTTTGTGTGTGTTATTTTATTGACAGATAATTCCCATTTAAACATTAAAATTAAAACACGAAGTTCAGTGAAGGGATCTCTTTTCAACGAATTTATTATCAAGCTGTACAATCGTATATATATATATATATATATATATATATATATATATATATATATATATATATATATATATATATATATATATATATATATAATTTTGTAAAAGTACTAATTCCGTGAGGAAGTGTGAACACAGTTAACCATGACATAAAAAAAAGGGGTTATAATACTAGATTACGTAATACGAATAATAACAATAGATTTAGTGAATATAATAAGATGATTAAAATGTTTTTTGTTATAATACTTAAAGGTCATAGAGGTGTGAAAAATAAATAAATAAGGTAATATGATGAGTATTTACGAATAAAAACAATGAGAATATAAGACATAAGTAAAGGGGGGAATGCAACATTAATAATAATAATAATAATAATAATAATAATAATAAAATAATCAAAATAATTAAGGCCAAGGTAACGATAGCGATAAGACGTACTTCTTTTGTACGCATAGTTCTGGTTTAAGCTCCTGAATGGTAAGAGCTTCGGCTATTTTTAAGAGTTGGATACGAAGAAATCTAGGTAGATTTGGACTAATCATATAAACAACCTTAAAATCAATTTGTGGATCTGTAGAATGGTTACAGTCGATAAGGTGTTCAAGTATAGAACTCCTAACTGCTTTCCTTTCACCCTTATAGAACCAAGCTGGAATATGTTCCCGTATCCGAGTTGAAAGCGAGCGCTGGCTACGGCCAATGTACCTTGCTCCACAAGAGCAGGTGAACTGATAGATGCACATAGAGGCGACCAGACTCGGAAGCTTATCTTTTATGGATACAAAAAATAAGTTCCTACTAGTGAATATTATTCGCAGTTTAGCTGCATTAAATGTTCTTCTAATCGTTGTTGTTAGACGACTTTTGGTCACATCTGATGTTCGATCACCTTTAAATTCCAGACTTATATAAAGGTTTTTCTAGATTTCTTGTCGTAATTACTTCTATTCAGATTCTTTTCTATGAACCGTTCTGGGTAGCCATTTTATTCACTTATTTTATTTTCAAAACATTTATTTTGGGTTATATTCCCCCCCCCATTACCTAATTCTTAAACCAACTTTTCATTCACACATTTCCGCCTACTAATCCTCTTAAATTATGTTAACCTTTCAAATTCTATCCAGTTATTACGTAACCTATCTTATCACTGTTCTATTACCTCTAAAATAATTATCACACAATGTATAAACTCCATTCAACTATTACATTACCCATCTTTAATTGTTTCCTTAATCCTAACACCAATTAACCTCTGACCTGTTCTAGCATATATATATATATATATATATATATATATATATATATATATATATATATATATATATATATATATATATATATATATATATAGTTATTATTGTAAACCTTTGCCATTCCAGTTATTTACATTCATTTATGCCAATTGTTTTACACTATCTCAATGTAAAATTTTTATCACATATTTGGTTGTAAGCAGCTGACGAGAAACCTCGAAATATTATGAATTCATACTATTCTGCATCAATATTTGTTCTTGCTTTATTTAAATTCATAAAGGGAACTAACTGTATGAAATAATTAGATTAGTTTAAATTGATGTAATAAGGTTAATTTAAACAGGCGAATATACTTATTTGGTTTGTTTTATTAACAGTTTAAAGTATAATTCATCATAAATACGCATAAAGTTGTTTACAAAGGTCTGGGAACTAGAGTGTGTACCAACGTCATGGAATGAGTCGATAGTTGTCCGTATCTTTAAAAAGGGTTCACGTTGTTCCCGTAACAACTATCGGGGGATAAGTCTACTTCCAATTGCGTCAAAGCTATTGGCTTCCGTTATACTTCGTAGGTTGTTCAGAACCCGAGAAGGATTGACTCGTGAGGAGCAGGCTGGGTTTCGTTCTGGTCGAGATTGTATTGATCATATCTTCACACTCCGCCAAGTGTTAGAACACCGCCATACTTATCAAAGGCCAACAATCGTAGTGTTTCTCGAAAACAGGGCTGCCTTCGATTCGTTGGAAAGAACTGTTCTCTGGGATTGTCTATTGAAGAAGGGTGTGTCTGGGAAGTTTATTAACATCCTAAAAGCCCTATACACAAACACCTCAGACAGAGTGAGGTCATACAACCACCTTTCTCCATTATTCCATTCAAGCAGTGGAGTTAGGCAGGGTTGACCAATCTCACCATTCCTCTTCAACTTTGCCATCGATGACATTCTGGAAACAGCTCTGATGGATGTAAGTAATGGCGGTGTGGATCTGTTGCCTGGAGAAAGATTTCCCGACCTTGAGTATGCGGATGATATTGTCTTACTGTGCGAGAATGTTCAAGCCATGCAATCCGCACTTAATCAGTTGGCAATCAGTGTCCGTAGGTATGGTATGTGCTTTGCACCTTCGAAGTGCAAAGTACTTCTACAAGACTGGCAGGATTCTAATCCTGTACTCACTCTGGATGGTGAGCAGATAGAAGTAGTCGAGAAGTTCGTGTATCTAGGTAGCTGCATAAGTGCTAGTGGTGGTGTGAGTGATGAGATCAATGCACGTATAATGAAAGCCAGAGCGGCTTATACCAATCTCGGCCATCTTTGGCGCCTTCGTGATGTTAGTCTGGCTGTAGAAGGTCGGATCTACAACGCGTCAGTGAGAGCAGTTTTGCTTTATGCTTGTGAAACCTGGCCTCTCCGAGTTGAGGATGTTAGACGACTCTCTGTGTTCGATCATCGTTGTCTCCGAAGGATTGCTGGCATCCAGTGGCAACACCATGTCAGTAATGCAGAGGTTCGGCATCGTGTGTTCGGTCACAGAGACGATGATTCCATTGGTGTCACCATCTTGAAACATCGGCTTCGGTGACTTGGACATGTTCTACGAATGTCGTCCCAGAGAATTCCACGTCGTGAACTATTTGCCGACCCTGTGACTGGTTGGAAAAAGCAGAGAGGTGGTCAGTATATGACATGGTGTCGTGGTATGAAGGAAAGCTGCAAAGGGCTAGCTTATGTTGGTCCTTCACGACTCCCTGGCTGGGGTCCGAGAGACGGTGTAACGCAGTGGCTAGAGACGTTATCAGATATGGCTCAGAATAGAAACCAGTGGCGATCCTGCTGTAACCTTCTTTTACTTTCTTCATAAAAAGTGGTTGTATCTTCCTTAACTGAAAGATTTCTTCTGATTGTACCTTTCCGTTTCCCCCACCATTGTTCTCTCTCTCTCCCTTTTTTTATAATTCCCCACGTTCATTACTTTTTTTTCTCTTTTCTCCTTCTCTTCAAATTATCATTGTTTTGTGTGGCGCATATATATTTGGTGCCCCACTGTACCAATATTTATGTGTTCAAATAAATAAATAAATAAAATAAAGTCGACAAAAGACCAGCTGTTTTGAATTCTTCAAATAGGTTACTTAGTTACTTATTTACTTACGCAGATTATCACTCGTGGAGGAGCATAGGCCACCCACCAACACTCTCCATCCAACTCTGTCCTGGGCAATTCTTTCTAGTTCTTTCCGGTTGCGACTCAAACTTTTGATGTCTGCTTGCGATTTCCAACGTAGTGTATACTTTGGTTTTCCAATTTTATGTTTCCCTTCAGGATTCCAAGTTGGGGTTTGCCTCATGATGCATTTTGGTGATTTCCTTAATGTATATCCTATCCACTTCTAACGTCTTTTCCCAATATCCTCTTCATGTGGAAGCTGGTATATTCTCTCACACAGAAGGTTGTTGCTGACGGTATCCGGCCAATGGAAATTGAATATCTTGCGTAAACAACTATTTATAAACACTTGTACCTTCTTGATAATGGATGCAGTTGTTCTCAGAGTTTCTGCTCCGCACAGTGGGACTGTCTTGACATTTTCATTGATGTTGCTGACTTTGTTATTGGTTGAGAATTGTTTTGAGTTTCATA